CAAGTTTATGAACCCTGTGGAAAGCTCAGAAGGCAAGAATAGCATGCCATGATCAGGGAGACAAGAGGGAATTCAGAGATCCTGATGTGTTCCAACATGGATATGTATCTGAAGTACATTTTAATTTTACATATTTTCTCATCAGTGTATAAATGTGCTTTAGTCTACATAAAGTTCAACTTAATAATGTCAACTTTATACCAAAGGACCTCAGAAGCCTCTGGAAACAGGATGTGTCTTATAATGTTATTTTTAATATTGTAAGTATTAAGAGGACTTCCTTGGTGACTCAATTGGTAAAGAATCTGCCTGCAATACAGGAGGCTGCCTATAGTGCAGGAGACCCAGGTTTGATCCCTGGGTTGTGAAGATCCCCTGGAAAAGGAAATGGCAACCCACTCCAATATTCTTGCTTGTGAAATCTCATGGACAGAGGAGCCTGGCTGGCTACAGTTCACAGGGTCGCACGAGTTAGACACAACTCAGCAACTAAATCACCACCAGAATATCAAACTTTATTTTATTCCAAAAAGCAAAGCCCCAAGAAAATCTCTTTAAGCTCTCAAATTAATACACAAACCTGGGTTCTACATAAGAGCTAAATCTTGCTAGTACCACTTTTATATATCAACCAGGAGGATAAAAACCAAGCAGTCTAAGTAGGTAAACTCAAAGATTGCATCTCCAGATATAGTAAAAACTCAAAGTCTTCAGATTCTTCGGTTAATAAGGCTTTGGCACCCACTTACTTCAGACAGATTCATCCTGGAAAAACCACCAGGAGAGGAGAGGAGAGGGAAGAGAAAGGAAACAAAAGGAAAAGAAAGGCAAAGCTAATCTACACCTAGGAGACAAAACACTATAACCATCACCCCCAATCCACATTTAAAAAAATGGTAAAAGAATAGAACGAAGTATTCCCGGGTCGTACCTGGCCCAGGGAAAGAGATCTCTCAAAATGATCTTTAAAATATCATAGAAAGGGACATAAAATAAAATCTAATGAAAGAGTCCAAGAAAGTAATGATAGTTCATTGGGAATTCTTAATACATAGATAAGGTATGTTTTGTGTTCGTTTAAAGAAATAGATGGAAAATGGAATATATTAGGAGAAAACCTAAATAATACATACAGCAAGAAGCATTATGTCAGCGTTTGGCATCCAGGAAGCCTAAGGGTTAATATCCTTCTGTATTTTAAAAGTGCAATAAAACATATCAATTTTAGTTGCCTCTAATCTGAGGCCAAAACTTTTGGCATACTTCCCTCTTCATAGTGATAAAAGTACCAACAAGTATCTATTGAGTATTTGTCATGGGTCAGATACTGTTGTGAGCACTGCAGAAGATATAGCATTGAAGGTGACAGACAAGGTCCTGCCCTTATGGAGCTTACGTTCTGTCACAGAAAGAAATGATAAATATGGTTGGACCAGGGAACAAAACATGACTAATTCTCTGGTACAAAGCATCCTGTCTTATAAGGCAGAAGCTTTCTTGCTGAACGACAGTTTTACAGAGACCTGAATCTTTTCCAGGAGGAGAACTGATAGTGTGTGTTTATAGGTTTGGGGGACTTTACAGGGAATAGGGGTGTAGGATAGGGCTTCCCTGGTGGCACCAGTGGTAAAGAATTGGCCTGCCAATGCAGGAGACACAAGAGACATGCGTTCGATCCCTGGGTCAGGAAGATCCCCTGGAGGAAGGCATGACAACCCGCTCCTGTATGACTGCTGAAAAATCCCACCGGCAGAAGAGCCTGGCAGGCTACAGACCACAGGGTCACAAAGTGTTGGACATGCCTAAGCGAGGAAACAAGGATAGGACATGAAAGCAAATCCCACTAAGTCAGAAAAAGCTAATATTCTGACTCTTTAAACCCTGCCCATCCAGTAAGCACAATACCTCTGTGGCTTTGGTACAGAAGAACTTGGTTAATATTACAAATTTCTAGGAAGCTTTGATACATTTGGAAGCCAATGGGAAATAAAGTTTGTCTTTTCTCTGCCACCTCACTTGTTCAGTAGGTCTTCTTACAATCCTCTCTTATTTTCCCTTTTTCTATTTTGAGACTTTTTTGTTTTTTATTCTTCGGAAATCAATGCTTTAACCTACTAGAACTTATAATATAATACCAAGTATAGTTTCATTTCCAACATTTTATCCCCTCTCCTCTTATTCCTAAAACCCCCTTTCCCTCTTTTTTTATTACTCTTTGATCCCTGACTTTCTACTCTACCATCCCTTTTCTAACCATTTCACTCCAATTCCCCTTCCATCTTCTCCAGACAGAAAAAAAAAATGATCACTAGATACAGGGAAAGACAGAACCAAGTAAAACAAAGAGTTGACAATATGCTATGCACGCAGGTAAGTTCATTTTGTAAGAATTTGACATTTCAAGTTTAAAAAACTGCCTTATGTGAATAAATTTTCTTGGACTAGAATTACTAGATATAACACTCAAAGACTACAAAAGTAAAGTTTTAGGGGCTTCTCTAGTTGTCCAGTGGTTAATAATCCACCCTGCAATGCAGGTGATGTGGGTTCAATCCCTGGTCAGGGAGCTATTAATAAGATCCCACATGCCGCAGAGAAACTAAGCTCTCACACCAAACTAGAGAGACTGTGGGCCACAACAAAAGTTTCATATGATGCAATGAAGATCCCATGTGCCGCAACTAAGACCCAATGCAGCCATATAAAATAATAAACATTAAAAAATAAAGTTTTACATATTTTCTTAGCTCTGAAGATATTCTTTCAAAAGTCCCTTTGTGTTTTTGTATATATTGAACAATTTGCATGAGAGAGAGGAGGAAAGAACTGCCCCTGTTTTCTGCCTCTCATCAGAAGTCCCTTTTCAAATGTCTCTTTAAGTCCCAGATCTGGCCTCTCCTGAAACTGCCTTCATACCACATACCTCGAATGCCTCACTTTATTATCCCTCCAGTTTGTCTCCCTACAGGGATATTGGGGACAGCCCAGGTTTGGAGTCAGACTGATTTCTACTGGAAGCTCAGCTTTACTTTACTTCTCCAGTGACCTTAGGCAAGTTACTTAACTCTCTAAACAATTTTCTCAACTGTAAAATGGTGAAGCCAATCTCATTACATTGTTATAAGCATTTAATGATCTAATCCATAAATGTCCTAATCACACTATGTGGCATACAGTTGTCATTTAATAAACAACATATATGATTTATATACACATACACATATGTATACATATATAAACACCCAAGTGTCCATCTTTTCCTCACATACACATGCACTCTACCTGTCTGTTTTCAATGCCATTCTCCCAATAAATAGCATATATGATTTATATACACATACACATATGTATACATATATAAACACCCAAGTGCCCATCTTTTCCTCACATACACATGCACTCTACCTGTCTGTTTTCAATGCCATTCTCCCAGAGCTCTGCCTTTCTGCTCTTGAAGCATTCACAATTTTCCAGATTCACAATTAGCTAATGTAGGAATCTAATCACTGAAAATGTGCTAATGAGAAAGGATAAGAGAAGAGGACAGTGACAACTGCCTGTCAACTCCAATACCCCCCAGTGGTAAAATGTGGCTCTTGGAAACAAAATTGTACTAAAAACTACATAGGCTGGAGCAGTGATTCACAGTATGAATTTTAAGCAGCATCATTTGGGAGCTTACTGGAGTAGTTCTCAGTAACTGTGACTGCTTCTTTTACATGTGTTAATACATAGGCCATCACTAATACAAGAATAAAGAAATAAATGGATATTGTGTCCTTTTCCATATGAATTAAAGTATGTGCAGAGATACTGCATTTGCCCCCAAACACTCTACAAAACAAATGTAACTCCTAGGAAAATAAGACTATGAGAAGGTTAAATACCCATGTAATGTCTGTTGATAAAGCAAACCCTAGAACACAAGTCTCTTTTCAAGTCACTATTTCTAGGCCATACTATGTTGACTTCATAAAGTTTATATAGGACATACTGATTTGAAGTCCCCCTTTCAAAAGATGCAAAATTTGTAAATTAGACAATGTCAAGAAAGCCACACCATCTGCCAGACTAACAGGCAAGTCTCTTAAGTAATGGACTCAATGCCTGGCCATGCAAGTCAGCCACTTAGTCATTTTTCTAGACGCTATCCATCATTGAGCACATTCCCAAATTTCATGCAACATAATTTAAACATTTAACTGGTGATTCTGATTGGAATAAACATTCAGCCCAAGTAAAAGCTTGACAATCCTGACACCTAGTGGCTGTGAAAAACTGGGTGAGATCCAGTTTGGGAAAAAGTAGCTATCTACCATGGCAATATCTTACAAACTACAGAGAATTTAATGATTATTAATACTACAAAATATCAATTCTAAAAGCAACACTACAACATTCCATCTTGGCTCTGATTTGTCTAGTGCTCTATACAAAGAGGCTAAAACACTTGCATTTGTAAAGCATGTTTTCCTTTAACCTTACACATTTGGCAAACTTACTAAGCTTCAGAGATCAAACAAGAAAACTAAAACGAAGCAAAAAAAAAAAATTATTTGGCATATTTATGATTCCCTTCTTTAATTTTGTATGTACATTCACATCCTTTCTTGATCTTGAGGTGGTTTTTCTCCTCACGTATCCCCCTGTCAAATATAAAAGCCATCTATTCAAGCCACATAGAGGTTCCCTTATGTCACTAAAGCATCCTTCGTCAAAGGATAGCTGAACCCTCACAAACCAGCAGGAGTTTTCTTTAAGAAAGGTATAAGGACACACATGGAAACCCCCAAAGTGCACATCTAAAAGCAAGGACAATGCTGAATGCTGCAAAAAAAAAAGTATGAACACAGCAGGTCAGCACCACACAACACAACTTATTTCTGCCTCAGACATTAGAAATATAAGTCTCCCCAGACCCACCTAAACCTCTGACAGGCAGAAAGGTGAGAAGATTTAAAGTGTTCACACCCTCCACCAAGGAGAGCTCTGAGTCCTACCTGCTGACGTTTGAAGGCTAAATAGTCCAGATTTTCAAGCTCCTTCCCAAGCTTCTGGTAGGTTTTCTGGAGATCAGATTTGCTGGAAACATTTTTAAGAGACTCAAACGTCCTCTGAAACTGAAATTGAAAACAAAGTAAATCATTAGGATAGCAGCAGATTTTTCTCAAATTCCTAACGAGCTAACAAAGACAAATGGTCAATAGTGAGCCTCAGTTTCTCCCATTCATAATACAGAGATAACAAACGCCCTTAAATTAAATAATGAGACAAAATTATAAAGAATTAGAAACTGTATGCTAAGTACAAGCAACACTACTGCATGGATGAGAAACTTGTTTAGTCCTCATTGTAACAAAAGAACATACAGAATTTTAAAAAATTTTAACTTTTCATGGTTTAGGATACAATGCTACCCTTAAAGAAAAAATTACAGTGAATGTATAATTTCCAATAATAATGGGAAAGTATTAATATTAAAAGATCTCTCACATCCCAATCATGGAAACAAATTTATGTAAAAGTACCCACTTGTCTCTATAGAAACACTTATGCAGAATAGGTACCCAACAAACTTTAGCCAGGAAGATCTCTCAGATCTTATATTTTGAGAAGAAAGGAAAATGAATGCTTTGATGATCGAAGCATATGTAGCATGTTCAGCAAACATTTATTCATTTCTGCTCTATAACAGACATGTTATTAAATTGATTCTGCTGAATCAGAATGCCTTCATTCATTTTTAAGTCAGAGACTACATAAACACAAAGGAGACAAATTGCAGTGTATCACAGAATATTGTTCTGCTACTAATAATTAATTAAGTGAAAAGATCTCACAAGAAATTGAATTCTTGGTTTATTTTAGTAAATTAGAACATACTTTAAAAGATTAGTGATTGAAAATGTCAAAGTAATACCATTTGCAAGACATTTGCATTTACTCTCTCTTTATGTCATTTATTTCCCATATTCTCAGTGTGTGCCATTAGATAAAGATCTCTAAATAGAGACTTCACCATCTTAAACACACCAGAATTCCACTGTGACTATAATGCTATGAGACAGGCTAATAAAATTTTATAGAATATAATTAAGTTTCCAGGGAAATGATTTGACCCTTACTATTTCAAACTCTGTGGAATAAGTCACAATATAATGGCATTCTACTGAATTAAATCCTTAATTTCATGAAAGCAACATATTTATCTCAATCCAGGGTGACAGAGGAAAAAGAAATAGAAAAGAATGCTAAACTTTCACATCAGGACAATAAACTAAATTCAACAAACAATCTTTTAGAGTCTACTATGCACAAGGCACTTTAAATATAAAACATATTTCTAAAATAGCTTACAGACTACCAGGGAAATTAGACATAAAGCTCAAAAATGGGAAAGATACTGACATTTACTGCATGCCTACTCAGTGTCAGTTACTTCATCCTTTTCAATTTAAGCTTCACAAGAACCACAGGAGTTCCTATTTCTCTTCCATTCTAAAAGCAAGTAAACTGAGACTCAGAACGTTTAAGCTGTTTTATTTTTCAATAATACATAATTTTAATTCATAAAACAATAATTCCTTAATTTTTCTTTCCCTTGGCCTTTTCTTCTAATCTGGCTTTTCTTTCTATATGCCTTTCTCCTAAGAATCACCAAAGCTTTTATTAAGCCAAATGATATCTTTTTCCTAGTTTTACTGAGATATAACTGACATAGAGCACTGTATAAGCTAAGGGGTATGGCATAATGATTTGACTTACATACATCACAAAATGATTATCATAATAAGTTTAGTGAACATCCATCATCTCACAGAGTTACAAAATAAATGAAATGTAAAAAAATATCATTTCCTTGTGATGAGATCTCTTCAGATCTACTGTCTTAATTTTCATATATAACATATATCGTCAAACATATTTATCATGTTGTACATCACATTTCTAGTACTCATTTATCTTATAACTAGAGTTTGTGCCTTTTGACTACCTTTGTCCAATTCCCCCTCCCACCACACCTCACCTCTGGTAATCACAAATCTTATCTCCCTATACATATAAATTTGGGGTTTTTTTTGTTTGTTTGCTTTTGAAGTATAATTGGCCTACAATACTATGTCAGTTCCTAGTATACAATATAGTGATTTGATATGTCTATACATTTCAAAATAGAACTAGGTTTTTACCCTAATATTTACACTCTTTCTACTCTACCATTAACTTTAACACTAGGCAAAGTAGTAAAAAGAGTGCGAAAAAGGAGATAAAAGTAATCTGGTGAAATAGAAAAAAACTCACTGATACTGTTGGAGAGACTCAGGCCATATAGAAGACATGAAGGAATTTGAGTTGGGTCTTGTGGGAATATTCAGAGCCTTAAATGGGTACTGACTCTACCCATCAGTTTAAACATAGCCAAAGTCTGCTCATTCTCCCCTTCTGTAGCAGAGTAAACAAATTTCTTTTAGTGTAATTTTAATATTAGCTATTTATCATATTGTATGATCATTTCTGTACCTTGCCCATTTCTTGGTTTCTTCTCACTATGTTTAAATGAAACTAATACCAGATCTGAGAGTCTAAACAATTTAGAAATTTTACCTATGAATTAATATAAGCTTTTACCAATCAACCTGTTCAGTTCTAAAGCATTCCTTATCCTCTGCATTTTCTCTTTCCTAAGATATTAGCTTTATTTCTTAACTATCTCTTCTTCACATTGTTCTTTGTGAATTTTATGCAACTCCAAATAGCAACTTTAGGGTAAACACATTTGTAAGGCTTCAAAATAAGAAACATGAAGACCAATACTTCCAGGTAATATGTCCATGACCAAAGAAAAAAGGGAAATCCAGTAATGATACATCCCCACAAGATGTTTTCATTAACAGTGGGAGCTTGCATAACATGGAGATTTTAGCTTGAACTTTCATTATCAGGACTTATATCCTTCATTTATTGACACTAACTAGTTCCAAGTGCTCAGACTATGATGATTCATTCATTTAAGCAGCTTTTTTCACTTACAACAACAAATAATTATCAAGGAGAGGTCATATAAAATCTATAATGTAACTTGAAGTTAGATCTCTATTAAACATATCCCATTCCCATCTGCTCACATATACACTTAACATACTAGAGAGTAAAGTAGTAATCCTGCCTTAGAGGTGAAGCTGAAGAACAAGAGATAAAAATAAGACAAAAGCTAAGGTTCAGATTTTACTTTAAGAGATTTGAGGTTACGTTGATTTGAAAATTTTTTATTCCAATAGGCCACTGTGCTTGATCATTGAAACAGACCTCTTGAGATATTCTACATTAGTTTAGTACACTGTAATTTCATTATAGTTACTGCTTCTCAATAAAGATCTCTCAGTTGAAGTTGAGAAAGGAAGCATGATTAATTTAAGAGATTTTAATATTTCTGGATTTTTCCTGTTCAAAGTTTTGAGTGAAAACTTTGAAGAATCCCCAAATAATTTGTTGAACACTGAGTTTGTCCTATGTTAATATTTTTAACTCATTGCAAACTAAATTCAAACTTTAAAAAAAATCCCAATGAATAAATTTGATCCAAAACAAACTTAAACTTTAGGTATGTTATAAAACTGTCAAAACTGAACATGAAAATAGCCTCTTGTGCTGAGACAGAAATTCAAATTCTGTCCAATCTGACTGCCGCTGCTGCTGCTAAGTCGCTTCAGTCGTGTCTGACTCTGTGCGACCCCATAGACGGCAGCCCACCAGGCTCCCCCATCCCTGGGTTTCTCTAGGCAAGAACACTGGAGTGGGTTGCCATTTCCTTCTCCAATGCATGAAAGTGAAAAGTGAAAGTGAAGTCGCTCAGTCGTGGACCCCATGGACTGCAGCCTACCAGGCTCCCCCATCCATGGGACCTTCCAGGCAAGAGTACTGGAGTGGGGTGCCATTGCCTTCTCCGTCTAATCTGACTACTTTAACCAAATTTCACACGACAGACAATAAGAAGATTAAAACAGCATCTCTAAAACCAGAAAGTATTGCACACCACAAAAGTAAGCATTGTAAACACACACCCAGAATATTTTCTTATCAAATTCCTCTTTGGTCACAAATTATAATAATAATAATCCACAAAATAAAACAACAGAGGCCATGATTGCTCCTATCCCATTAAAATAACTGAAAATCTGTTTTGCAGAAAAGAGAAGCATGAGTGCAGCAGAAAAGAAAATATCTAGATCGACTCAGCATTCCCTCTTCCCAAATACATTTTCCTCCTTTTCCTGACAACATATTTTTAAATAAATCTAAGCCAATGTTCTATACAAACTACCCATTCAATGAGTTCATGAAAATTATGTAGATTCATGGAGTAATTTGAGAAAGAGGACAAGAAGAAACCAGCTGAAACAGCAGGAAAAAATGCATCCAGGGCAAGTAAAGCTTTCCTGGACCTCACTGCCAATGTCCTGGCTTCCTCTTGTAGTCAGATCAATAGAATCAAATAATTCCACAGCTCCAGCAGCCTACTAATTCCTATAATGAAAAAATATTAAGTAGCACTGCTCCGAAAGAACAGCCAGCTCATCAGTTGTCATTTTCCCTTATTTAAGGTTTTGTGCATTTGTATGATGTTAAGTGTTACTTGTAACATAAAAAGGAATTCCATACTCACAGCATTATGTATACAAAAGAGTATTCAATAAGTACCTGACTGAAAGCAATGAATCACTAAGTATGATCTTAGTGTCCCTAAAATGTCACTGTGAAATAGTACCAAAAGATTCTGGAAACTAAAGCAGAAGGAAGGAATGTTCAAAGAATAAATATTAATGCTCTATAAATATTAACGTTTAGAGCAAAAATGTTTTGAGCATAAGAAAGGCTAATCCACTCTATTTCAATGTGGCAACAACAGAGCAACCAAAGTGAAGTATTATTAAGAAAAAAAAGTATTTCATTTTCTGAAGTTAATCCACTGACTCTCATATTTTCCAAATGAATTTACAGGATAATATGACTCATGAAAGGAAAGCTTACAGCTAAAGCTGAAAATTAAAGGACACATATATCTCAAATGATGTTTTAGTGTAAGGAATGATAACCAAAACTAAATTAAGAACATAGAACA